ACACACACACACACACACACACACACACACACGAGCGAACTGTCATTTGGTGCATCGGCAAATTTTCGTCCTTGCTACTGGTCAACCCAATGTGTGTGCATCCAGAAGGGAAAAAAAGTATTAAATTATTTTTGCATTCCTGTCTACATAGAAGTGTTCAAATGGATGTCACCAACTAATGTGCCCACCTCTCGAAGAAATGCCTTCAGGCTTGGCCTGCCCCCCCCCGTTGACTTACGCTAACCTATGTAGCACTGGCTTTTATTGTGAGCCTCGGTATTTTTACTTGTGCTTTTTTCGGCCCCTTTAGCGGCGAATATGGCACGAAGAAGGACCTCATCACGGTCGCTATGGAAATTGCTGAATGCTCCTTGGAGGTGACTCGATGTGCCAAGGCTCTGGCTAAGGAATGCACCGATAGACGCATGAAGTCCGTAAGTTCACTGTCAGCGTTCGGTCGTGTGTGGAAGTTCTTCGCACATTAATGTCTGTACTTTCGACATTGCCTCTCGACAGAGTTGCTTTGACTTGACGCATTGCTTCTAGCGCTGTTCCTTATTTACGTCCTTACCTACAAAGGCAACCATTCCAACACTTGTTAGGCTCATAAGATAATTTTGTTGGCCTGAAATGTCGGGTTTTAACTTAAACCCATAATCGGAGGCAGCTATGGATGAGGGCTGCCGGTTACAGATCCTTGGTCAGAATCGTTTGTATGGTACCCCCACTCCCGCAGAATACGAGAACAAGAACTTCTCCTCGCGTAATACAAGTCCCATTGCACTAAATTTGAGGAAGAGTAGATATTACCGCTTCCTAACCCAAACCTTAACCACAATCCCAACCCCAACACCAATCACAACCTTAATCTTGATGGTAATTTCCCTGTAACTTAGTGCAAAGCCACCTTTAGTTTGGGTGGTTCCTGTTCCCGTGTTCTAGCGCGACGTGGGGGGGGAGGGGCGTACAAGCACCTCCTACCAGATCCTTCGTTGTTTGCATCCCCTTTGTCCTTTTCGCGACAAGTGTTTAGGTACTGTATCAAATATCTGCTAAAGTGGCTTAACTTCTTAGAATCGCAAAACGGCACACTACTCAATCGGGATTTTGAACTTCAGCTGCGACTGTTTCTGTTCTCTATTCGCGTGCAAATTTCATTATATTAACATCGCTGGGTCTATTTTTGCCCATTGTGTGCTGGCATTTTAATCCTACTTGTGTATTAGAACTAAAATAATGAAATCATGTGCCCACTACGTTAGCACTTTTTGGACGATAACAATTCCGAAGTAAATTTTACAATTCACTCATCGACTCCTATTTGTGATGTGTGCGATTGCAGTCTTCGGCCATTATGCATTCTTTGTGACCTTCCGGTGTTATGTATTTTTTGTACCCAATTGTATTCACGGTAAATGAAGGACTACCCTTTGCTGAACATAATGGAATTATAGTTTCAATGATGCTCTATCGGAGGGTGTTTGTGTATGAATCCCGTGAACAGCAATTAATTTTTTCGACACGCCAGACTTCAACCTAGGATTAATAACTATCAGTAAGTAAAGAACCGCGTTCCCCTTTTTTATACTTGTTTCTGGTTCTTGGCTCTCCGTACTTTGGATTTTGTTGATGTGGAAATATTCTGCGTCAGATCTCACCCACTCTACATAATATATCGCTTGTAGTAATCCCTCTAATTCATGCTATTTTAAAATTCAGAACTTATCTCAGCTAAGTGACCGTATTCTCACCATTGGAAACCAACTGAGAATCTTATCGACCGTCAAGGCCACGATGCTCGGCAATGAATGTAAGTTAATTTTTCAGCTATTGCACCCTCTCCTTTTTCCCCAGGCTGATTCGTGTCTTCACATCGTTGAAGCTGCACCGATGTCGTTGCATTTTCAGTGTTCCTTCATTTCCATCCACTTGCCTGCCTTTTAAGGTTTTTAAACGAACTTGCACTTTGCTGCAGATGACAAATTACATTTGTTTGCCATCGGTGTTGTTACTCATCGTCCTCTTCATGCTTAGCGTTGTTGCATACCTTTTTATTCACTATTAGAACAGCGCGTGTTGTTGGTCTACGGACGACTGATTATCACTGCTATTTTTCCGAATAAAAGTAGTCGCCCGTTCATTTCCTGCGGAAACCACCTGTACTGGGTGAATAGACTGTGATGAAGTAAACTAGACACTGTTTATAATCCGATCGCAGTAGTGCTCCCACGGACTACAATATTTTCCGTTCTGAGGGTTTAGCACTGGGAGTTCAATCTTTCGGGCACATCGGTTTATGGTGCTATTGGGTTACTGGACTGCTGTTCGTGTCGCAATCCCGCTACGGTTGCTTTTCTTTTTTCGGCTGAGTTATTTATCAAGCCAATATCTATCGACGCCTGAAGTTATTACTGACGCATTGTCAGCGACGGCTTACTTTTCAGGCT